TCCTGGAGACCCCTGAGATCTAACGTGTTCCGAAGGAAGCCGTCCTCTGTTCCAGCCCACCCCACCTGCTCTGCCTGCAGCCCTTCCCACTCGCCCCGTGGCCGCCCCAGTCTTCCAACGGCTGCGACCAAAGCCTCTGGAATCACCCGTGGCTCTTCTGTTTCTCTCACACGCCACCTCCAGAAGGTCCCCAATCCCCCATCTCAGCTCTTCAGAAATCGTGCAAAACCTAATCGCGCACACCACGTGCTGGTCCAAGCTACTGACTATCTCACCGGCCTCCTGGGGTGTCCTGGCTCCCCCCTTGGTCTCCTACGTGCCTTCCCAACAAGGCGCTGGTGCTCGGGGAGTCGCGCAAACACTGACACCCGGGCGACGGCGGGATCCCGAGGGGTCCGTTCCCTCGGGCCCAGGAGTCTCGTGTCCCCCGCAGCGACCATGGAACCGCGCCGGGCGGACAAGTTAGTGAGCACACAGGGGGAAATCTCTGGCTCACGTTCTTGAGAACTACATGCACAGAAAGCCAACTGACACGGAGCACAGGCGACGGAATTGCTCTGCCTTCTCTTCCAGCCTCGAGATCCCACCACAACAAGCTAGTATTTTGGAAAGCAGCAGGAATTCCTGCAGGGCTACAAAAGTGAATCAAGAAATGGAAAGATAACCAAGTGAAGAAGAGTGGACTTGCCCTGGCCGGTGTGGCTCAGCGGTTGAGCGTCAGCCTGTGGACCAGAGAGTCCCGGGTTCAGTTCCCACTAGGGGCACATACCACAAAAAAAATAATAATAATAAATAAATAAAAAATAAGAAGAGTGGACTTGCCCTGGCCGGTGTGGCTCAGTTGGTAGGAGCGTCTCGTATACCAAAAGGTCGAGGGGTTCAATTCCCAGTCGGGGCACATACCCAGGTTTCAGGTTCGATCCCTGGGTGGGGTGCGTACGGGAGGCAACACACCCATGTTTCTCTGTCTCCCTCTCCCTTCCTCTCTCTCTAAAATCAATAAAACCACATCCTGGGGTGAGAATTTTTTTAAAGAAGTGCGCTTGAAGTTGTCACGGAATTTAAAATTTAATACATTAAAAATAAATGTATAATGAAAGCAAAAGCTCGAATAAATTTTCAAGCGACTCACTCCTGCTTGTGCGGCAGCACGAAGCCGCCGCGTGGCCTGGCTGCACCTCCCGCGCCAGTTCTCCCGGACAGACAGACCGGTCTCCACACATGCCAGGCTCCGGCAGCACCTGATTCCGTGAACTAAAACTACGCACGTACTCAGATAAAACTACGCATACTCAGCTAGGAAACCTGCAGGGAACGTGACGTGAGCACGTCGAAGCATCGTTTCCTACAACGGTGTTCAGTGCATTCCTATTAAATTGACTATGAGACACATGTTCAGAAATTCAATCATTTAAAATATTATTGGAGCCGGCTTATAAAACTTAGTTAATTTGCTCATTTGGATTTAACATCTTGGATTTAAAAAGTAGGACACTTACATAACAAGTCATCGTTGTCTTTATATATGTGCATGTTAAATTTTAATGTACACAGTTTTACCCCTTCCTAGGCACTTGCCAACGTTTTAGCTAAAAGCACAGTAAATTCCCTAAATAATCTCACCACGATGACCTCCGGTGAAAAGGAATGACCTCACTGTTTAAACTACCGAGCAGATAAGACCCTTGGAGAATTTTTAACAAATGTTGACAATTAAGTAGGGCCCAAAGATCAGCCTGCTGTACCAAACAGGACAAGTTCTTTTTTTTTTTTTATCCTCACCCGAGGACATTTTTTTCCATTTTTTGTACAGATAGAGTGGGAGGGAGAGAGAAGAAGGGAGAGAGAGAGAGAGAAACATCGACGTGAAGGGACACATCGAGTGGCTGCCACCCGCACGACCAACCAGGGCCGGGGACAAACTGCAACCGAAGCACGCGCCCTTAGCGGGAACCGAACCCGGATCTCTCCGGACTGCAGGCCGACGCTCTAACCGCTGAGCCAAACCAGCCAGGGCAGGACAAGTTCTTTCACTACATTTCATTCTTCAAAATTCAAAGTTGTTTGTTTCAAAATCTCTTAGACACATTGAACTACTAGAGCAAAAACTTTTAACTCCTAAAGGCAACATGCACATAAAAATAACTGACCAGTGCCATGGCCGGTGTGGCTCAGTTGGCTGGGCATCGTGCACAAAGCTGCCGGCTGGGTTCCTGGCGGGGGCGTGCAGGAGGCAACCCATTGATGTTTCACTCTCTCTCCCCCTCTCCCTTCCTCTCTCTCTAAAAAAAAATCAATAAAAAATCCTTTAAAAAAAGTAACTGAAAAATGACACAAATGTTGTGAATGCTCTCAGCCTTTAAATCATAACACAAAAGCTCCAATTCCAAGAGCAAAGTATCAACTACTCAAATGCTTCTGCGTAGAATGTGTCAGAGTTGTTCATTCAGTTTGCACTAGAGAACGTGAGCTTGCACTTAAGGTCGTCTTTCCTCATGTTCCACAAGCAAATTGAGAAGAGCAGATTTGGGGTACAAAAACTAATTCACGTAAGATTTACTAAATGTACATTAAGAGCAAATGGAAACCTCACTCACTAATCCTCAGAGATAAAGGGGACCCCTGGGGAGCACTAATTATTCAAATTAATAATATAGCCCTAGTCACAAATAACATAAAAATCTTGCAAAATGGAAAACATTAGATGCATTGCAAACTGATAGCTGTCAAACGTAATCAGTTGTTGTGAGTTGCCCCGGACGTGAAAACGGTCCAGCTTGGAGTCACCTGTCACCCCACCACAGAGCAGCAGACCTTTCATGCTGCTGTTACACGGAGCTCAGCAACGGAGACACGTCTGCATGAGGGCACCCGCCGAAAACACACTGAATACCTTCATTTAAAGAAAACGTAGCGCCCTGGCCAGTTTGGCTCAGCAGTGAGAGCGTCGGCCTGCGGACCAATGAGTCTCAGGTTCGATTCCGGTCAAGGGCATGTACCTGGGTTGCGGTTCGTCCCTGGCCCTGGTCGGGTCATGTGGGTGGCAACCAGTCAATGTGGCTCTCTCACATGGATGTTTCTGTCCGTCTCTCTGTCTTCTCTGTCTCCCTCCCACTCTATCTGACAATAGAAAAATATCCTCAAATGAGGAATCAAAAAATAAAGAAAAATTAGGTTTGAGTTCCCCCCAAGGTAAAGGCTTTAATAGTCACTGATGCTAGGAAAACAAACAACTAAAAAGAACAGAGAAACTGTGCATGAGCTTATGAAACACATACTTCTTTACCTCCACTCTCTCCCCCTTCCCCAAAACAACCGCAAGGACAGTGAGAAGTGGAAAGCAGCCCTGGCCGGTTTGGCTCAGCGGTTAGAGCGTCGGCCTGCAGTCCAGAGAGACCCAGGTTTGGTTCCCGCTAAGGGCACGTACCTCGGTTGCAGTTTGTCCCCGGCCCTGGTTGGTCGTGCGGGTGGCAGCCACTCGATGTGCCCCTTTCACGTCGATGTTTCTCTCTCTCTCTCTCTCTCTTCCTCTCTCTCCCTCCCACTCTATCTGTGCAAAAAATGGAAAAATGTCCTCAGGTGAGGATAAAAAAAAAGAGGAAAGCAGATGATTGCGGTGCTGACTGGCTCGGGGAGCTGGAGAAGCCGACATCGAGGTCTGCTGGACGGGAAGGCAACAAAACACACCTAAGAAAGGGCGTCCCGGATCTGAAACAAGGCACACGCGATTTATTGTTCAAAGTGGGGGGGGGGAGAATGGTTTGAAAACAAAAACTCCTAGAGCCAACATTAAAATTCAAAAGAAGAAAAATCAAGGGGGAAAAAAAAAGCTGATTTTTAAAAAACGGAGAAAAAGAGCTAAAAAAATGAATATTATCAATTCAGGAAGTCCAACACCCCACAAAGAGCTTCAGTCGGGAAAGGAAAAACATTCAAGGGGAAGAAGTTATAAAAGAACTTTTAAGCATTGGCCAGAACCAAAGAATACAGGGGTACAGAGTCTAAGCACCCAAGAAAGGCTCACTCCATCCGAAAAAGAAAAAGTAACAAGCATATCAGCGCAACCTCTGAGCACCTAGGGTGACACAGAGGCACCACACAGCATCCAGAAAGAGAAAGAAGGACACAAACGACCGGGACGTGGACAGCAGCCGGCTGGGAGGCGGCCCTGAGGCCGGCGGGCCATCGCCTTCCGTCCCGGGACACCGACGGGTGGCAGGCACACATTGTCGGTGGCCTCGGTGTCTCTCTCGGCAGCCCAGCAGGGGCATGACTGGCTCTGGACAACGGGCTGTGAGCAAACGCACTTGCAACCCCCCTGTGCCAGCCTGTGACCTGTCAGCTCTCCCTGCGTCTGCGGTGGCAGCCTGAGCCCTGGGTGATGGGAGGGGACACCGGTGAGAGCAGGCTGGATCCCAAGGAAGATGCCAGAGCCCCAGGCCCACAGCAGATGATGTGGACGTGAGAAACACACCTTTACGTGTTGCCGAGATTTCAGTCAGACTGCCACGGACTCCACTGGTAACCTAGAAATCTAAGGCAGCCGACTGTACCTCAAACATGTACAACACAGACATTTTCCGACACAGGAGCTGTCAAACATACACACGACCCCGCCCCATCACCTGTCTAAGCAGTCACCAGGAGGATGAGCTCCATCAAATCAAGGGAGTAAACTAAGAAACAGCAAGCAGGCAGAGAGGAGAACAGGCTCTCTAGGCGGATGACACAGCCCCGGTTTGATCCATTATCTGAGATAACGTCCCTGTCATCGCTACGGCTCTTCCCAATCAAACGTAGGTCACCCTCCAAGAGCCGGCTCATCTGTGCCATCCTCCAAGAAGACACAGACCCAAACTCCCTTGCTCCCAGGAGGAGAGAAAACATCCGGCATCGATGCAGAGATGAGCTGCACACACCAGGCTCCACCAGACCTGCCACGTGGTCCGTGACCGTGGGCAGATGATGTGGCCACTCCTGGTCTTCACCTTCCTCCTCACCTGGGTAAGGACGAAGCTGGGCAATGCTCAGGAGGTTCCTTCTAATTCTACAACGAAGTCATTCTGCAAACGTGCCAAACCACTCCAGTCCCAGGGCAATTTTGGCACACGCTTACGTAAGGAGTCTGCGGTGGCTGGTGATGAGCTTCTTCCCTAAGTCTGTGCGCCTTCACTTTCAAAGCAATGTCAACAGAGAAAGATGACTACTGTCGAAAGGACAATATTTCCTTTAAAACAGAAATGAAGTCTTAATAACAAATACCTTCATTACTATAAACATCAAGACAAAATTCACAAAAGGAAGATCACACAGTCACAAGCCTGCCGGGCAGGGGGCGTCCCCCTTGAAAGGTGTATCGCTGCTACTTCAACCCCCAGTGTGCTGCTGCAGCAGCCCAAACAGCCACCACAGTTCAAGCGTGGGCGGCGCCGGATGGAGCACCTGGCGCACACACCTCGTCTACACAGTTCTGAAAACTGTTTTCGATGAAAGTGTTATTTAATATGAACCACATAGTCCTCTGCCTTAGAGAAAACCTTTAAACACGAGTGTGCATGTTAAATACTCTCTCCTTCTGCCCCTGAACTGCATAGACAGCTGCTCCTTCAGATAAGCTTACCTGTCGGGAATTTCAGGAAGGCATAGTGACACCTTCGGGGTTCAGCGGTGCTCGGACAACTGCTTGTCTCCCAGGCCTTCGGACCCGACCTCGTCGTCTTCCTTCTCCTCGTTCTGTCTTCTCTACTCAGTGGTCTGCTCCCAGCGACAAGAGGACAGCCACCGCGCCCCAAGCATAGTCTCCGAGTGTGGTGCCCTTCGAATAATTTCAAGGGACAGGTTCAGTGTGATGGCTGTGAGGGGCGAGAGAACAATGTCAACACAGTAGGAGACACACATGCAGGACCCTCTTTGTTCTCGACCCCCCACCATGCCCAAGGGCCAAGGAACCCAACTTCCGGCTCACACCGCAAGCACCTGTCCCCCCACACTGCCAGTGGCTGGCACCATTAACACCCCTGTGGGCTCCCACTCTCTTTTGTTCCCATTTTTCTTGTCCCTTTGGCCTCTCGCCCCTCCCCCACACAGGGCTTCCTTAACAAGAAAAACCAAGTCTTACGTGGATGTTGCTGATAAACCAGGAAACTCCTTTTATCTGATCACAGTATTATTTTTAATTATTACTATTAGCACTTATTATATGCCAGACACTGAACTCACACGTCTACATGCATTGTCGCATTTAATTTTCACACCAATGCTAAGAAAGGCACGATTTTTACAGAGAAAGCAAATAAGACTTACAGTTTATTTTTTAAAAAAACCTAACCTTATAAAGAACTCATAAAACTCATCACCCCCCCAAATCCAATTAAAAATTGGCAAAGAACCTGTATAGACACTTCTCCAAAAAGGACATACAGATGGCCAACAGACATATGAAAAGGATCTCAACATCACTAATCATCAGAGAAATGCAAATCAAAACCACAATGAGATCCTACCTCACACTGTCAGAAGGACCATCATCAATAAGTCAACAAGCAAGTGTTGGCGAGGATGTGGAGAAAAGGGAACCCTGGTGCAGTATTTGTGGGAATGTAGACCAGGCAGCCACTGTGGAAGACAGTGTGGAAGTTCCTCAAAAAATTAAAAATGGAACTGCCTTGTGACCCAGTGATCCCACTTCTGGGAATAAAGCTGAAGAAACCTGTAACACTGGTTCCGAAGAATACATGCACCCCTATGTTCACTACAGCACTATTTACAAAAGCCAAGATTTGGAAGCAGCCCAAGTGAACATCAGTACATGAATGGACAAAAAAGCTGTGGTACATTTACACAGTGGAATACTACTCAGCCATAAAAAAGAAGGAAATCTTGCCCTTTGTGACAATGTGGATGGACCTGAAGATTATTATGCTAAGTGAAATAAGCTATTCAGAGAAGGACAAATATTATTCCACATATTATTTAACTTATATGTGGAATCTAATAAACAAAATAAACTAACAAATAAAAGAGAAACAGACTCATAGATAGAGAACAGACAGACAGCTGTCAGAGGGGTGGGAGTTGTGGGGCCGGGTAAAATAGGTGAAGGGATTAAGAAAAAAAAAATCATAGATACAGACAACAGCATGGTGACTTCCAGGAGGAAGAGGGTGCAGGGGTGCGAAAGAGAACAAAGGGGGGATATAGGGTGATGGAAGGAGACTTGACTTGGGGTGGTGAACGTGTAATACAATGGACAGATGGTGTATTACAGAACTGTGCACCTGAGGGTCACTGATGTCACCCCAATAAATTCAATTAGAAAACAAATCTAAACAAATAAATACCCTATGAATTCTGCAGAACCAGACAGAAACCCTGTAACCCACGGCAGAGCCTGGATTTTACGTTAAAGAAAATACGCTCACAGTAATTCTGTCAAATGGATGCGTATCCCCACGTCAGTCCCCTATGAGGACAGACCCAGAGGGGATGCACGGTGTGTTCAAAGCTAGTCACCAAGGTTCTTTCCTAAAGATCCGACACGTCCAACATGTCCTCCGGGCGCCAAAGTGAGATCTTAAATTACTCTACCTAGTTTGTTTACTCTTGAAACACCACCAAGGCCAGCGGTCACCGAAAAACAACTGTTCCACGTAAATACACGTAATTTGATGTTTGTGGGAGACATCGAAGACCCTGAGCTTCAAGGGGGATGTGCCCTCAGCCCCCAAGCTTTCGGTACTAATAGGCACAAGCAATGAACCGTGGAACTAAAGACGTTCCGCTGTTTCCAGCTCATCACTACCTGGACAACGCTTTAGATCAGCTAGCCACACACACACACACACACACACACACACACACACGTCTCCCCTTTCTACCGCACACACTAGGCCTAAAGTCCTCCGTGTAGAAGGAGCGACTGCACACCAGGCCTCCAGCACCACAGAGGCACCAAGCGGGAGGAGGTGAGGAAGGAGGGCGGGAACAGAAGCCGACAACCTTCCCTTCCCACGGCTGATGCAGCACACAGCCAACAGCCAAAGGTGATCTGAGCTCTGGGTCATTTAACTGCCTACCCTCATGAAGAATCAATACAGATGCGCGCACACACTACCTATACCGGATTGTATAAATAAAGACCACACTTCAACGTGGTTGTGTACCGACCCATTTCGCATGGCTGCCTATTTCTGGGAGAAACAGTAGCTGCCACAAACTTGGAAACGGACTTTCAACATTTCCTTTTCTTCGGAGCATATTACTTTTTAAATAGTATCACACAATGACTGCCCTGAGCAAAATAAAAGATACAATTAGCAACACAAGTTTCCCGACAACTGACCACAGTGGAGAAAACTACCAGTTAGTTATCTGTGAGGAGTGAAGTTACATAACAAGACAGTCTTAAGGTATTTGCTTCTGTTTCCTAAAAAGAGCCTTTAAAAGGAACCCTCAGGCCTGAGAAATGAGCTGGAATCCAGTCTGTACAGCCGGGCTTTTCCTCCCAAGTCAACGGCACCCGAATCTCTTCTCCCCGACTCCCTGCAAGGAGGGCACCAGGGGATGCCTGGGGGGGTGTCCCTGGACCCTGTGGCAGTCATATTTAAGGCCTACCGGTCTGCCCATTAAAAGGAGGAGCAAGGGACAGGGTACTTCGCACCAACTCAGAAGATATTTAAGGATCATAATAAAGAGGAAAAGTGTTCTGCCCTGGCCAGTTTGGCTCAGCAGTTAGAGCGTCATGGGTTCGATTCCGGTCAAGGGCACATACCTCAGTTTTGGTTCGTCCCTAGTCCTGGTCAGGGGCATTCAGGAGGCAACCAATGGATGTGTCTGTCTCACATAGAAATCTGTCTGTCTGTCTCTCTCCCCTTACTACTCTATCTGATGATAAATGGAAAAATATCCTCGGATGAGGATTTTTTTAAAAAAAGAGGAAAAGTGTTTCAAAGAGATGCGGAAAGGAACCCTAAGAAGGACAAAGGTTCAGGTGAATAATCTGGCTGATCCTCACCCAGACTGAACAGTGACAAGCACTTGCCAAACCCCAGAGAATAAGTTCTAAAATTCCTTATCAAGTCCCATCAGAGAGCCAGCTTCTCCAAAGGCGAGCAGAGAGTATTATTATGGACCGTGCTGGAGCCAAAGGGATGAGGCCACGCAGTCCCCTGAGTCAGGGACTCTGAACTTTACCACCTGCAGCCAGGTGAGCAGCAGAGAAGTCAGGAGCAGGGGGAAAGTTCCATCACAGGCTACGCTTTGGGGCTTTACCTATGAAGCTTGGTCAAGCACGCCATGCCTCATGCCATGCCTGTTTTTAAACAACGTTTGCTTCTCCACAGCACTAAAGATGCCACTTAAAAGTCATTCATTCAACCAGGTGGAGCCTATTTTCTGTTGTGGTATCTGCTGCTTAAGGAAAGAGGCAAGAGAAAGGCATGCCTCCCGCAGCTGAGAACACCCGGAGATTTCAGGGAGAAGGAGGCGCAGTCTACTTTTGTTTGACTGCAAATGTTTGCTTTCCAGTGAACACGTTCGATCCGAGACGTGTTTGGGGGCCGTTCCGTGTCTCGTTCACGTTATCACCGGGATGCCCATCGCCTGGTCCAGGGAAGGTGGTCACGGGACGTCTGTGGCCGTGAATTCAACCTCGTGCGCTTCCTTCCCGGAAGCCCGGGTGTTCCCACCTGGCCCTCAGTTCCAGAAAGTGGGGCTGGAACCCCGAATTCCACGTCCCGACTCCACGTGACGCTGGCACACAGACCCCTGCACACACTCCGAGTTTGGTGCCAGGACCCGCTCTGGGAAATGTCAAGTCTCGCTCCACGAGGAGCCACCACGGTGTCCCCGAAGTTGCCAACTCCTGAAGCAAACTGGAAACCGCGGCCTGCCCCGGCTCCAGGGGAACCCCCGGGACCCCACGATCCCCGCGGCCAGGACGCGAATTCTCCCCGCAGCGGCCCCGCGCAGAGCAGCCCGGCCCGGCCGCCGCCGCCCCGCCGCCCGGCCCGGCCCCGAGCGCGCAGGCCCCGCGCCGCCGCCCCAGGCCTCGCCGAGCCCCGGCCTCCCCGGCGGCTGCGGCCACAAAGGCGGCGGCCGGCCCGGCGCGCGGCGGCCCGGGAGGCCGAGGTCGGGCGAGCGGCGGCGGAAGCAGGCCTCGGCCCTCCCGCCGTCCCCGGACGCCGCTCCCGCCCGCCGGCCGCCGAGGACGCGCAGGGCCTGGCGCCCGGCCCCGGGGAGCAGCGGCCGCCTCCGGCCCGGCCCCGCGCCCCGGGGAGAGCGCCCGCGGCCGGTCACCCAGGAGGCGGCAGCCGCGCCGGCGGCCCGGCCCGACCCCGCAGAGCTCACCGGAGGCGGCCGCTCCGCTCCCTCGCCCAGCGCCGGCGCGACTGCCGCTCGGCCTCCTCCGCGGCTCCTCCCCCGCCGCCTTCCTCCTCCTCTTCCTCCTCCCTCCGCCCTCCCGCCCCGCCGGCCGCCCCGCGCCCACTCCTCGGCCCGCGGCGCAGGCGGGCGTCCGGCGCGGGGGGCGGGCGCGCGGGGGCCGTGCCGGGGAAAGGGGGCGCGCGGGACGCGGGGGGCGCGCGAGGGGCGGTGGGGAGCGGGAGGCCCCGGGGGCGGTGCCGGGGGCGGGGGCGCGGCGGCGGGGACGCGCGCGGGGCGGGGCGCGCGGGGCCGGAGTGGGCGGAGGGGCGCGCGCGGCGGCGGGGACGGCCCGCGCTGCAGTGGGGTCTCCCTGGAGGCTGCTCGGGTCGCGGACCTCGGGGGCCAGCCTGGGGCCCGGCCATCGCCGTGGGACAGCCCTGCGCCCCCCGGCGTCGGCCCCGGCCCCCAGGCTCGCTCACCTGGCCCGGCGACCCCCTGTCCCCGCGGGGCGGGAGGGACGGGGCAGCTGGGCCGCCTGGGGAGGCCCTTCCCACACTTCCTCTGGCTCAACCGTGAAGTGCGCTTTTCGTAGAAAACTTAGCCTGTTTCAGGCCATCCGCCCGCTTCTCCTTCAGTCCTGTCGGGGTTTCTCCAAGGAAGTTAGTTCGCTCCGGTTTGCGCGCTGGAGCCAAGGTACCAGGAGGCCGGTAACGTGATCGGGTCCTTGGAAATTGGCTGCATGTGCTACTGATGTGTAGCAATAACAGCACATTTGATTTTTGTCAATGGGAGTCCACAGGACAAGGTTTGTTTCTGTTTTGGTGAGAAGCGATTCCAGAGAAATAACATTAATATCTAACTTGAGTTACTGTTAACGTTGAAAACTGTGTGTCTGACATAGTCTAGACCTTTTTGAAAGGAAACACAGGAATAGGCTAGGGGGAAATTTTTTTAAGTTGTTCACATGTGAATTTATATCAGAATTATACCTCAATAAAGTTGGTATTTAAGAAAAGTTCCAGTAATTGATCTTAATTTCTATACACGTCTGATGTACAAAACTCATCTAAAGACAAAATCTAGATTAATAACTTAAAAACTGAACTGTCGGGTGACTCGATTGGTTTGTGTGACCGGATAGTATGTATGAGGTTGACATCATTTGTGGCCTGGGGCCCACCAGACCACTCTCGTCTCCTTCTTACCCTAATTTAAAAGCAACCCAGCTCTCGAATATCTAATCACAGCGAGTGTAGGCTGGAAGAGAATGGCCCAGAGCTTAGTGGTAATATCAAGTAGTGATGAAAAAGGACGCAAGCCCTGGCCGGTTTGGCTCAGTGGTTGGAGCTGCGGCCTGCGGACCAGAGAGTCCTGGGTTCGGTGCCCACGAAGGGCACATACCAAAAACCTAAATAAAATAAAAAGAACACAAACTGTGACACCCCGTCACCTCTTGTTTGAGCCCTTTCAGAAGAAGGCACAGGGCAGGTTGGAGGATCTGGAGCACAAATCTCCTGCTTGATCTCGAGGAAACCAAACCTGGAGGCTGCGCAGCAGGGCTGGTGAGCGGGACGCTAGCAGCCGGCTGAGCTCGGGAGACCCGGCCAAGACCCTGGACTTCTGGGTCTAGCAGAGCAAACCTGGCATCTCGGCTTTGGCAATTCATGTAGTTGTGCATCCTTAACCAAGTTTCTCAGCTGTCACCTCGGTTTCTACTTTCATAGAAGGGGGATGGCAGGAGGGGAGGGGCTTTGACGTGAACTATATCCGAGTCGTGAGGAGTCCATGAAACAGTGCACAGCTACCACCAAACCAGGTGCCCGATGCAGAATGAGGATTACTACCAGGTAATGTATATGGGCCAGGCTTTGCATTGAGCTCTTTTGCTACATTATCGCCTTTAATTTTCACAATAACCTATAAAGTCAGTATTATCACCCCACGTTGCGGACGGGGAAGCAGGCTCCTTGTATGTAAGTATAAGCCGTAAATAACTTTCCCAAAGTCACACCACTACTCCGGGGCGGAGTTGGAATTCAGACTTAGGTCTCTCTGACGCCAGAATATGAGTTCTTAACCACTAAATTAAAATAATAGTGATAATAGTGTAATAATTCAGCAGCAACTTCAGTGTAGAGATACTCGTGGCTAACTATGCTGTTAAAATGTTCTTGGCGGAGTCCCAAATACTCATTGGCTGTCCACTGTCCAACCCCGCCTTGATCAGCAACTCAATCTTCCTTGGAGGAAAACCTTATCTTTTCTCTGCCCACAGCACAGCTGGAAGGTACGCCCATGTCTGAGGCTCTTGCCCAGGACGCTGACCCTTGAGCAAGGGATGCAAACATGGAGCGTTCATGGGAGAGGAGGGGACCAGATTCACCCTAGTGGGGCACCTGGACCAGGTGGTTCTTGGTGGCAGCCCCCAGTAGCCTTCTAACACATCCCTGTTGTGCTCAAGATCGTCAAGGCCTGTTGTTTGCAACCACACATGCCGTCTGATAGATACACTTGGGAGCAAAGGTGGGGATGGCGGAGGGTCCTATCGAAGGTGTCCTAACGGGCAGCAGAGCATAGTTCCTCTTCTTCCTCCGGAAGTCATAGCTTCTAGAGCCAGAAGGACCCTTAATGATCATCCTCCACATCCTCATTCTATAGAGGAAGAAACAGACTCAGAGGTCGCACGACTTGTCCAAGATGACAAAGCTAAACACAGCTGAGTTATGACTTGACCTGCCATCACCCCATTTCAAGCCTGGTTTGATTTGTAGTATTAAACATCTCCCCTTCTTCCAGAGGGGAAAGGAGAGGAGCCCAGACCTGAGAAAACAGGGTGGACGGGATACAGTGGGCGGCCTTCCAACCTCGTCCTGACGTGTCCAGTGCACTCTCAGCACGAAGAGCCCCCGCTGGGCCCCTGAGGGGAGCTGCCCAAGGGACCCGGGCTCCACACTCTGGGCTTCCCTGCCGCCCAAGGTCCCTGCATCCTCACTCAGTCGACTTCCTTGTGTGGTACTTGTACTGGGTTGAGGAGTGTCCCCCAAGATCCATGTCTTTCCCAGAACCTCTGAATGTGACCTTGCTTGGACGTGGGTCTTTGCATATGTAGTTCAGTGAGTATGAGGGCATGCCGGAGTAGGGTGGGACCTTAATCCCATGGGGTAGGTGTCTCTATCAGAGAAGAGAAACAGAGGCGGGCATGCCACGGAAAGACCACGTTAAGACACATGGGAAATGCCACGAAGGCAGACACTGTGTTTGTCCATGAGCCAAGGAGTGGGATCAACACCAGAAGCTGGAGGAGTCCAGGAAGGATCTTCCCCGAGAGCCTTGAGAGAGAGCACGGCCTGGAACACCTGCCCTGGCACTGCTGGCCCCAGAGCCACGAGGGAGCACATTTCCATCACGCTAAGCGCCCGGTGTGTGGTGCTGTGGCGGCGGCCACCGGGAACTAATGCAGTGCTCCGGGGCCTGCTCACCCTCCTCCCCTCTCTCCCGGTTCTCTGCGATGCAGTCTGCCCCCGTCAAAGCTTCTCCTGCAGTTTCCCAGTTACTAGTGTCCCCAGAGGCCCACGTGTGTCCAGGACAGTACCAGGTTTCAGTAAACCCTGTGGCCACTTTGCCCTCCACCTAAAGCGTAATGGGGACCCAGTTACCCGGCGCCCAAAGCTCTCGCTGCCCCCTGCTTCCTTATATTACACCTTTCCTGGCCGAGCCGGTGACTCCACCTCCACTCAGGCGTTTCTCCCTCCTAGAACGTTCTTCCATCTCACCGCACCCTCTGCGTGCTTTCTCCACGCTGCCAGGAACTGCTGGCAACCACCAGAGGCTGGAAGAGGCAGGAGGCTCCTCCCCGGAGCCTGGGGAGAGTGTGTCCCTGCCAACACCTTGCTTCCAGCCTCCAGCGCGGGGAGAGAATGCACCTCTCTTGGTCTAAGCCACCCAGTTGGTGGTCCCCTGTCAGGGCCGCCCTAGGAAACTAGCCCAAGTAGCTTGCCGTGTTATCTCATCCAGGTTGGCAGACAGCAATCATCTGACTGCCGGAACACACGGAGTAAGGCTGTAGCGTCCATCCATTTCACGCTCAGCAAGTGGTTATTGAGCATCTCCCACGTTCCGGACGTTGTTCTCCGTGCAGGGGTTAAGGGGATGAACAGGACAGACCCAGTGTGTGGCCTTCTAGAGATGAATTTAGTGGGAATGGAAGAAGAGAAGGAAGCGTCCACACCAAATGATGAAGCCGTCGAACAAAAAATTATAGCTATGCTCTGAAGGAGATAAATAGGGTGACGGAGTAAACTACCTGGGAAGGAGGTTGGTGGCACCTATAGGAATTGGTCCGGGGAAGCCACTGAGGAGGTGACGTGAAGGATGCGGATGAGACAATATCGCAAAGGAACATTCTAGGGAATCTCCGCGTTGGGACAGAACTTGGCTTCATTGAGGAAGAAGGAAGACGGGTCGGGCTGGAACGCGGTGAAAAGCGGAGATGAAGTCAGCGTGGAGGCAGGGGCCATGTCTTTACAAGCCTCACAGCGCAGGAGTTTCCCTGTTGGTGTAAGAGCAACGGGAAGTAACAGGTATTTCAATCAGGGGGTGATGCAAAGGAGCTTCCACCGTTAGCAGGTCTCAGGGCCTGAATGCAGAGCGGACTTCAGCAGAGCCCGGTTGGCAAGGGGAAGACGTAGCAGCCCGGGTGCAGCGACGGCGGTTCGGGCCAGGGCGGAGGTCGGGAAGCAAAGCGCATTGCTCTGGTTGGCGTTAAGAGTGTCACGTGTGTGCACAACCATTTAAGAGCAAGATGAAGCTGTGGCGAGTGTAACATGTATCTGGAAGTCCTCTGATGCTGCTTCTATCTGTCCCCTTCCCTCGAATCCTCGCTGACGCCTATGACCCATTCTAAACACCCCAAATGCATACCGATTTGTGTACAGGAGGCTTCCTAAGAGAAATAAGACCCGAGGAAATATTTAAACCTGAAGTGAAGAGTGCAAAGCTGGAGAAAGACATGCTGGGAGAGAGTTTGAGTGGAGTGTA